ATTGTGTATCTGTTTCTCCTCTCAAACTCAGCCGTTCGAAGCAGATGGCCGCTTGTCCTGAGTCTGGTTCTGCTGGAGGTTTCTTCGTGTTAAACTGGAGTTTTTCATTCCACTGTTGCCTTTGTGCTTGATCGTGATGTGAGACTGCGATGACATGATGACTCAACACGTCTGCTGGATTCCTTCCTTAGATAGGTAACTTTACTAACTGGCATTTATAATGCATGTGCATGTTTGTGTTCAGTGCTCTGAGATAACTTCTGTTGTGACTTGGAGCAAATAAACAGACTTAAATTATAACTTGAAAAATAAGTGAGGTACTGATTTCCATTTTGGATTGTGGCTGCATCTATGTGTAAGAAGTTTCCTTTTCAAAACTGGATTGCCATACCAAAATCCAAGATGGCTGTTGCCCTATGTAAACATTGTGAGCAGGAAAACTTGAAAAACAAGCAGCATATTGACCTATCTTTTTTGTGTAGCTGCATCTAGGCGTAAAACAATACCCCGATCAAAAATTGGGTTGCCATGACAAAATTCAAGATGGCCACCACCATATAAACATATGTAAACTGGCCACTTCAGTCATTTAAGGAAACTATGTTTTCTAGTGATTGCTGGACATGGGCACCAGCGACCCCCGTGACCCAAAATGGAATAAGCGGGTAAAGAAAATGGATGGATGGATGGATGGATGGATGGATGGATGGATGGATGGATGTTTTCTAGTTATTATATTGCTTAAAAGTATAACTTTCTCAAATGATTGGGGTGGCCGAAGATTTATCTTTTTATTTAAACCTTAATTTTACCAGGGGGAAAAAATCCAGATTATGAAAGTATTTTACAAGGATGTTCTGAGACAGTCTTAAAAACAGTAACAGTGATATTAATACATTTACAACTAAACATATGTTAATAAAGCATAAAATGCAATGCAAGTAAAAAAAAAAATCAAAATATTACAGGTGCAAGATGTGGTTAAAACTTCTGACGGTTTTTGTTTAAAACTAGATAAAGGAATAAAAGACTTAATCCTCAACTTAAGCTGCAGTTTATTCCAAGACCATGGGCCCAAATAGGACAAACTCATCTTTCCTGACAGTCAGGATAGATGAGTGTCCAAGGCCACCACTGGCCACCCCCTGGTTCCTCCATTGCACCTGGTGGTGGACAAAAGTTTCTCCCTCCACTCATCAGGATCCATCACTCTGCGCTGCGTTGGACACAAAATAAATAAATAAACTATATTCTTATACACAGTGTAACTCATACTCTCTTGAATATCTTGCATCAAATACATTGTTTACTTGCATTCCCTGTTCAATCCAGTCCAGACAAACACTTATGTTGAAAACTGCAAGCATTCACTATTCAAACCCCTCAGTGACGGGAGACATCTTATATTGTTCAGACGAGTCTGTGCCAAGAGTTTTAGTCACAGTTTGCATCTAAAAGCAGCTGATAAAAGTTTTAAAAGAAAGACTGAGTAAGTGCAGCTCAACACAGTGTGCTAGTTAAAGAATATATAGAAGGAAAACAATGTTTATAGAATGTCTCATTAAAAGGCTTTTAATAATATGACTGAAAATTGTTGGCTTGTTGGTTTATTGAGCTTTTTTTAATACCTGAATTATTGAGCATGGTGCTTTTAATGATTGTTTCTCTTCAAGATGTTTCTAACGGAAAATTCACTGTTTGCATTACCAGAAACTTCTAATTAGCTAATCTTCTTTTGGCTACTTCCTTCTTCAGGGGTCGCCACAACGAACTAAATTGCACGAAGACGTGGCAATTATTTTTATGCCGGATGTCCTTCCTGACGCAACCACAGACCAAAGAGCTACCACAGCCCTCTGTGTGGAGCAGAGAGCTGCCATCCAGGGCGCCCGAGGGAGCAGATGGTGGGGGTTAAGGGCCTTGCTCATGGGCGCGGAGTGGGGCAAATGAGGGTGGAGGCAGGTGTGGGTGCTTCATCAATCCCACCCATATTGTTTTATGTTGTCTTTACCAGAAGTTGAACCGTTGATCTTCCGATCACCACCTTTCTGTAACCCCTGAGCCACCACTCCCACTTCTAATTAACTAATCAATTAACGAAAAGTGAGAGGACGTGATGTCATTCAGTTTTATTGTTGAGACTGACGCATGTTTTGTACAAAGGCATCATTAAAAACAGCGCGCTGGATGTTCAGTCGCACAGCGTTCCTCGTGTTTCACGGCTGCACTTTCATGTGTTCTAAGAGCACAACGCTGACACCAGCACCGGGGCCGTGCGTGCACATGAGGTAAGAACACGAGCCGCCCCACGTTCTGCTGGGCGGCTGCAGAACACTGACGCTGTGCACCCAGCGTGGAGGACGACAGTGGCCAGGACACGTGCACGTTTCTCCTGACAGCCGTGTTTGGTTTTCTTCTTTAAGGCCCATGCTCTGCAGTTTTCATGTTTAAAGGATTAAGGTTTGAAGTACACAGCAACATTTTTCATATACGCATTATGATCTTTGTTTGTTGTTGCGTTAACTTTTTTTATTTTAGATAATAATATGAACAATTCCAGGTCACTTTGATTACATTTTCTGATATTTTAAGCTACAATCTATTGAATAAATTACAGGAGTTGTGATTTGCAGTCCAAAAACTAAGATTAAACAAGTTTTGATAACTTTTAATAGAACTGCGTTGTCGTATGGACTTTTGAGACTTTCGGTGAAACTTTCCTCCGCCCTTTAAGAACACATTCTGGGTCACAGAGGTCCTGCAATTTAAAACTTCATTGTTTTTTCTTTCTTTTGTTCTTTTTGTCTCCATCAGACTGTTGCACCACTTTGTTCTGCGACCCCGGGCGAACAAGTGTTGCAACAACAAAACAAAAAGTTCTGATAATTAGTCGTATTTAAAGACAATGGAAAGTTAAAGGTATTCACAAAAATCCAGCTGAACGACATACTTTTTGTTTGCTAATCCACGTGACATGACAGGACAATAAAACAAAGATTGACTTGTATTTCATGGTGCTTGTAAAAAATGTTTTGGGGGGGGTTTATTCGTTGCCATGCACAAACTAGGAAACAGACTTCTGGGACGGGGTCCAAGGAGTACTCAAGGTGCAAATATAAACACCACAGCCAAAATTAGAAACTGGCCACGTCTCGGTCAGCAGACTGCTTGTGCGTAAGAATACGCAGACCTTCAGACGTACACTGTGTTCGAGTGCAGCCAGTAAAGTACCAGTCGTTTGGTAAGGCCTGCATGTTTCCATTCAGGCTGATTCAAATTGAGCGGGAACCACATCAGGACAGAATCCAACACGTTCAAAACATCAGCGTACTTCGGAAGAAATGCAACTAATAAAAACGGTATTTGGGCCTTGACCTTTCCAGTTTTAATCACATACATTCTGTAAAGATTTTACCGTTCTTTGTTTATTTTCTTCAACAAACACATTTTTCAATACGAGCAGCTGGACACATGAAGCTCGTGCACATTTGGGATTTGGAGTATTAGACAGTGACTACAGGACATGTATGAGGACAGTGGTGACATGTACTGTAGGAGTGACGGAGAGCTTCAAGGTTGAGGTGGGTGTGCATCAAGGATCAGCTCTGAGCCCCTTCTTGTTTACGCTGGTGATGGACCGACTAACAGATGAGGTCAGGCAGGAATACCCGTGGACTATGATGTTTGCAGATGACATCGTGATCTGTGGTGAGAACAGGGAACATGTGGAAGAGAACTTGGAGAGGTGGAGGTATGCACTTTAAAGAAGAGGGATGAAAGTCAGCCGTAGTAAGACAGAGTACATGTACATCAAGGGTACTAAGGTGGACACTGTGGACTACTACAAGTACCTGGGGGTCCACCTAGACAATAAAATGGACTGGACAGCCAACACCTCTACAAGAAAGGCCAGAGTTGCCTTTTTTCTTCTGAGGCGGCTCAGGTCCTTTAACGTCTGCAGGACCATGCTGTAGATGTTTTACCACTTGGTGGTCTTCAGCGTCTTCTTCTGTGGTGTTCTGGGGCAGCAGGGTGAAGAAAGCTGATGCCAACAGACTCTATACACTCATCGAGAGCTGGCTCAGTTCTGGGAGTGGACCAGAAGTCTCCGGCAGATGTGTCTGAGCAGAAGATGCTGAAGAAACTGCTCCAGATCTTGAACAGCACGTCACACCCCCTGCATGACACCCTGGACTCTTACTGCAGCACCTTCAGTCGTAGACTGAGACCACCGAGGTGCTCCACAGAACAACACAGGAAGTCCTTCCTCCCTGTGGCTATCAAAACTTTTAAACTCCTCCCCCTTTCTGCACATAGGACAATAAAATGAATCCTGCACTAAAATAAACACTTTAATGTTTTCACATGAAAACATTTCACGTCTGCACCTGACCTGTTTACAACTTAATTGCTGTTATTTTTATCTTATCATTTTTTATTTCCGGTGATTCCTTGTGTATGTTCCTTTGTACTGAGACTCTGGCACAACGATATTCTGTGGGATCAATAAAGTTCCATCTTATCTTATACAAGTTCAATCTGAACTACTTTACCACGTGTCATGTGACAGAAGGTGCAGTTGTAATAAAGCGAAACGATAAACTACATAATCTTAAACTCAAACACTCTCCAGAAAAAGGCACAAAATTATTTAAAATGCTTTTTTTTTTCAGTTCACCTTTTACCTACATTTTTATTTTTAGAAACGATGTCGTGGAAAAGAGTCGACTCAAACAGGCAGAAACCTTCATAAGGGTTTTAACTCGACCCAGTGCTTCCGCTGGGATGCACAAAGACACGCTGGGAAACTGAATCTCAAACTTCTGAGCATCATTCTTACTTTAATCTACAATTGTGTAAATTGGTTTATAAAAAATAATCATGCCGTCATTGCCCTGTTTTAGCAGCAGGTGGCAGTAAAGATCCACCAATAACCCTTTACTATGACCGAGTAAACCAATCTAACCATGGGACGTTAATGACGGAGGGAAAAACAGTTCACAAACATCTAAACATTTTATTATGAAAATAAGACGGAACAAAGTTTGACCACATCTTTCCTTCACTCGTGCGTTAGAGACGATGAACAAACGTGAAGACGGTATCATGCCCGGCAGTCTCTGTGCCAACAGCTACAGCTGCTGTTTTCTGTATGAACGGTTCACAGGAAGCCAGTCTCAGGGAACTGCAGAGCTTCCAGAGTCGCTCGCAGGAAAATGACACGGCTCACTGGTGAAAACGTGACTGTGGGGTTCTGGATGCATGTTGGGTCGGTGCGTGTGAGATCACAGGCTTCTCTGATGCTTACTTGGCTTCCTGAGCTTTTTTGGCGCTTTGTTTCTCTTTTGCCTGAGGAGACAAATCCAAATGTAATTCAATATGAAGGACTATGGTGGTACATTCATACTGATTAGTTCATTTTACACACAAATTATCAGTAAAACACCTTAGCTCAAGTTTTTTTTTTTTATTTGTAATAGGAAAAAAGTCTGGTGATGACGCCCTCTAGTGTTCAAAAATAAGTACTGCAGGTTCATTATTTTTCTTTTTACTTTGAAAGAGAAAATATTTAAATTTGATCTCCCTCACAACTTACAAAACCTTTGAGTGAACTACACTAACTCATTTAATTAACATGTATATAACTGATGAGTGACGATGTTTTACAACATAAAGACATCCCCATCCTCAGACAGACGCTTTCAAATTAAATACTGTTGTAAAAAGCTGCAAAAAAAGAATGACCTTTTCTACCAAAGGGACTAACTGCTGGTATTCAGCCAGTGTCTTCAGTAGCTCCATGATAAAAGGAAGGTAGTTGTGCTTTCGTCGGATATTTTCAATCTGCAGGAAAAACAGATCCACCAAACTGGGTAAGAACACGGTTCTAAAGGAAGATTACGCTCAATTTTTGTGAGTAAATTACTTTTAAAAATGAACAAAAGCGCTACTTTGCTTCACATTTACAAAATAAAGTTTACTTCACATTGGTCAATAGTGATGACCTACCTTATATCTTTTAAGTTTCTGATTTTCCTCTTCAATAAGAAGCTGGTACTTTGCAATCTCTGACTGGATGGAGCTGAGAAATGTGCTGTTTTGGTCTGTGTCCATTGGCTCATCCTGACAAGAACAAAAAAAAAAAAACGTTCTCAGTAAATCTGAGGAAAATTTTACACTTTGATTTAGGGCGGAAAACATAAAATCAGGATTTTTTTTTATTTATTTAAAACCCAACATTCTAAGACAGAAAATATTGATTTAATGATGTTTCAAATAAAATCTAAACATAATTTAAACAAATCTACAAGTTTTTGCAGTAGACAAAATCCTTAGTGATGTTTCATGTTGTTTAAACCTCTGAACAGTTCTTTTGCCGACCTCTAGTGGTTCAAACCTCTGCGATGCTCGACTGAAACTGGAAACTCGTTTTTATTAAAAAAAAAAAAAAAAAGATTTCGCAACAAGGTGATGTTTTTATTCAGGGTCAGTTCGATAACTTTAAGATTCCCAGTTTCTGGCGGGAAGAAAACAGAAATGTCTTTGTACCCATTTGGTAATATTATTAACAAATCTGAATCTGAATTATAAAGTCAAAATGAGATCCCCACCTGTTCTTGTCATGAAAACATTTAAACTTGAACCTTATTTTTTCTTCATCAACATTTTGCCATTTCTAAAATGTTTTGGTTATATTAAAGATTACTGCATCGAATACTCAGATCTGCAGAAAGCTGCAGGTTGTCGTTAAAGGAGAAACGTTGCCCCTGAGACTCACCTCAGTCAGCTGAGTCTGAAGCTCCGCTATCTTCTTCTCATAAATCATCTTTCTGTCGGACACTATAGCCATCAGGTTGAACCGGATCTCTCCTTCGCTGTACCTGAAGAGGAAAACGAACTCAGTCTCTGGTCAAGTTTAGATCAATTTTAAATTATCTTATACGCATTTAAAACTTACTTCTGTATTCTCTTCTCGATCACGGGGCGAACTGCATTGATCCAGTCATCCTGGTTGCACGCGCCTGGTGGGAACAGGAAGAAAATACTTAATGAAACCTGCACACGCAGTAAGGACGCAGAAACAGGCTACGTTTATGTGACGTGGATCAGAACCACAAAAACTGAACTCTGGACCTCACACTGAGAAACTACACACAGCACCGACACTTAATGTTGAAATCTAAAGACAAAATACAAAACAAATTAAAAAGTAATCAGAAACAAAACGTGCAAATTTCTGTCTACCCAAATCAATTGGTCCTTCTCGAAGTCCGTCCAGCTCGTAGAGTCTGCCGTCTACAGGAACGTAGCTTACAAAGTGGAACGCATCTTCATCCTTTGCTGTTGACTTTGCATCAAATTCAAACATCTGCTGTCTACAAACAAACAAACAAACATCTGTCATTAAAGCAAATTCAGATGCAGGACACAAACACAAACACACAACTTTGAACCCAGTCAGTACGAAAGGCTAAAAATAAGCAGCAACTGATCAAGCTGAGGCTCTCCAGCTGCAAACTACTGGATATGAGAGGAGCTTACCTCGCAAAGCTGTTGTGAACTTGTCGAATCACTTCGGAGTTGCTGAGAGCCAAACCTTTCATCTGAGGAGAGAGGACACATTCAACTCTGACTGTGGAAACATGACCTCACGATGCACACATTACTGTGTGGACTGAGTTCTCTTAAGTTCACAACATTGTTCTCTGGTCATATATCCAACATTAACACACCACTCGTGTATTTATATTTAGAGATAAAGCAATTTATGAAACGTGCCAAACAAAAAGACTAAATGTGGGTGTAAATATATGCTTTGTGTTAACTTGTAGCTTTGTCTTTTTTGTAGATTTCACAAAAAACATAGAAAAAACAGCATTTGCATTATTTTTTCAAACTCAGATGTATCTCTTAATGCTTGAATCATTTAAAAAGTCTCAGTTTTGCAGCTTAAGAGAAGAAATTAAAAACATTTTTCTAAATCTAAAAGAAACAGGACAAAGCATGAAGTGACCTTTAAAACATGTGGACCACGAATGTTCAATGACACAAAATCTGACCACTTGAAAGCAAACAAAAAGCTAATCGTGTTTTTTTATTATCTAATGTTTCACAAGCTTGACCTAAATGAGATAAAAAACTGTTATTTAACATTATAAATCACTGAATGATTCTAGTCGTGATCACAAGATTAAAATGGTCACGACAAGAAGTATAAAAAAAAAAGAAACTGATGATTTACTGTTAAATAGCAAAAACAAGAGTCACTGAAAAAGAAAACTATTTTTTTCACTAAAACAAATATAAATCCTTTAACGCAAGAAAACCGTGCAAACAAAAAAATACACTTGTTTTCAAAAGGAACACACAAAAACAAAACACTTACAGCTGCATCAAAACTCTGTGAAAACTCGCTAAACTCTGTCAGTGTGTCTCCGAGCAGCACGTCGGGATGAGCACAGTTGAGCAGAACACTGACGATCGCCTGGGTGGCACAAGCGTTGTTTATGACCTGCAAACACACAGAATACATCGTTAGATTCACAAGTACATTCATTATAATACAGAGAGAACTTGGCCAGAAAAGAAGCATTATAGCTCGAGTTTAAAGCGGTTTATTAAGTTTGGTTAATAAAAAATAAAAAAAGCGGCACTATAGACTGCTCTGTGACGGCATCACAGCCTGTGTGCAAACAGTCGTATCCATAACCAGCTCCAGTAGATGAAATAGAAAAGATGGAAAGAACACGATCATTTAACCATGGTCAACTTTTGTGCAGTTTTCTGCTGCACAAATAAAGATTAAAAAAAAAAAATTACTTAATACTTGAGACATAATATAAACTAGTTTCCATTTCTACAAAACTGGCTACTGATCTTCAATGTTTAAATAATATCAGTGAGAATGGAAATGCTGTGTAGTGTACTGTAAAAAGACAAAAGCCACGAGTAGTTCAGCTGTTAACAGAACACGTTCTCAGATTGTTATTATGTGGTAAACATTTTGCACGTTGACAAAGCACTTGCACCCAGTCAGAGATGAACTGACTGGTGACTTTTCGATGCCTTGAGGCTCCCATATCTCTCCAGTTTTAGCTTCTCTCCGTTGGCTCCGTCAAATCCAGAATCTGATTCAAAATCTTACTTCTAACCTACAAAGCCCTCAACAACCTAGCTCCATCTTATATTACAGATCTTACTGTTCCATATTTTCCTAACAGAGCACTTCGCTCTCAGACTGCAGGCTTACTCGTGGTCCCTAGAGTTTTCTAAAGCAGAATGGGAGGCAGATCTTTCAGTTATCAGGCTCCTCTCTTGTGGAACCAACTTCCAGTTTCCGTGAGGCTGACACATTGACCAGTTTTAAGACTTTCCCATTTGATAAATTATATAATTAATGTTGGCTTGCCATGATGTCTTAAGGTTAGACTACTGGAGGACAAATCAACCACATTTCCTTAAATGAATTGTTAAAATTGATTAGTTTTCATTTGATACTATTTCTACCTTAACATGCCATTCTTGACCTGCCATTGTGTATCTATTCCTACCAAACTGAGCTGGTTTGGCCGCTTGTCCTGAGCCTGGTTCTTCTAAAGGTTTCTGAGGGAGTTTTTCCTTTCTACTGTCGCCTTCATGCTTACTCAAGATGAGAGTTCTGTGATGGAGTTAAACTGAAAGCAGTCTGCTCCTCAGATAAATAATGTTTTATTATTATTTATTTGTTTCTGTTCAGTGCCCTGAGACGACTTCTGTTGTGACTTGGCGCTGTATAAATAAACTGAATGGAATTGTGAACAAGTTTAAATTAAAAACCAGATAATTTACAATATCAGGAAATGAACGGTAGTTGCCATTTCCTCACATGCACATCTCTGTATGCTTCAAACTCATTCAGTTTCAGACAATTGTCCGCTGACTCACTTTTGTGCTGTTGGTGCAATTTACTATTATTTTATTTTAACAGGTAGTCTCACTGAGTCAGGAGGACTCATTTTCAAGAGAGACCTGTTTGGGAGCAGATGGTGGGGGTTAAGGGCCTTGCTCAAGGGCCCAGAGCGGTGCAAATGAGGGTGGAGACATGTGTGGGTGCTTCACCTTTCCCACCCACATTTTGTAAAGGAGTCCTCGTGGCTCAATGGGACTAACCTGTTTAAATAAAGGTTGAATGAATGAAAATGTTGATGTTGTTGGGCCAGGGAGTAGAACCTGCGACCTTCTGATCACAGGCCCACTTTCTCCAACTTGTGCACCACCACTCCTCTATGCTTATTCTTAAAGTTTCCGAGGGATCCAACCCAGTAGCATCTTCACTAATGATTTGTTCAGGCTTCACTAATCAGCTGAAACCTGACAGAACCAACGGTTTTACCTGTTTGGCAAAGAAAATGTCGTCAAGCCTTGAATCCTGGACAATTGATCCTGCTGGCTCTTCCCCCGGCTGCCACTTGAAGAGAAAAATCAACCCGTGAACTGGCCTGAAACAAAACACATGCACTAAATTAAACATCTGCTTTTTTGGAGGATGCATGCCATAACATGAGCAAGTTCCACAAATAAACATACTTCAAGTTCTCAAAGTTCTCTGGCTCCATACTCCAGATCTCTTCAACCTGGGCTCCTCTGCAACCTGACAAAACAAGTAAAGCTTCCGATTATAATTCAAACAGACAAAATGTTTAAGTAAACCCTGAACAAACACGATCTGAGACAGAAGCACATTTGGTGCAGACCACGGGTTTTCTCGCGCCGTTGTTTGCACGCCGAGGAACGCTAACCATTTAGCCCAATGAAAACATCAAACATGCCACCTAGGAATCGAAATTAAGAATGCAGTTCATGTTTCTCAAGAGTTGGGGTTTATAATTATGAAAAAAAATGTGTAGCCTTAGAGCTAATACAGAAGCTACCATTAGCTCCGCAGCAGCTAGCTAGCCGTATCGCATAGTCACGTTACATTGAATGAAAATTTACACCACAAGCACTCACCGAAACCCTTTATGAGCTCTGTAAACACCCCAGGGTCACTCTCCATCAAACACCACTCTCCTGCACTTCCAGACATTCTTCACGGTATAAATAACCACAGCTGTACACATATATTTATCAAATAATGCTAATAGCTTAAGCGTTCTCGTTAGCCAGGCTGCGCTGTAATGACGTCACGGCTATGCAGCGCAAAGGGTGGGCGCGTTTTACATCCCAGCGCAAACCGTATAAAATGTGTTTATTGTTAATGAAAACGTCAAAACACTAACGCAAACCTTTGGATCTAACCAGAAACATCTATATGTACTAATATACTCATATACAAAAACGTTTTGACAACTGCAAAACGGTATAATAATAAATATATAAATTAAGCTCCACCCGCCTGCAAGGGGAGCGTGTACATATGAAACACTTCTAGAAATGCGCAAAGCCGATGGAACTTTTTTTTTTTTTTTAAGAATGCAAATACTGTATACATTTATTGTATTGTAATATAAACATTTTAAAATTTAAGCTTAGACATGTGCAGTGCCTTTTAAACCATGAACACACTGACTAATTAAAAAAAAAGTTTTTGTAAACTATTAACATATATTCAGTTAGTTACAACATGTAAAATGTCACACTGAAAAAAATAAAATTTATACATACTTTTTAATAAAAGTTTAATGGTTCAATAAACAGCCGTGGTTAAAAAAAAATGAATGGGCGGGGGAAGTGTTTCCAACATTTACTGCTTTTGTCTACAAATTAACTGTGTATGGGAATAACATGGTGCTGTACATCCCTGTGAGAAAGCAAATACAAATGTCACGCATCTGCTTTACACTGATAAACTAAGAGCATTGTCTTCAAACTATTTACAACTTTTAGTGTAAATCTATGCAAACATTTAATAAATACAGGATTGAAAAGCACTACGAGAACAGTTAGTCATTTGGAGGATTCAAACTGTCCGCTGCCGGAGCCCTGGGAGCCAGAAGCAGCACAGCAGGAGCACTGCTGCAGGAGCGGCAACAACTTCCCCTGCTGATGGAGCTGTTTGGTGTCAGAGCCGCCACCGATGCAGTTCCCATTAACAAAGACTTGAGGCACCTTAAAAAAAAAAAGACTTAAATTAGTGCATTAGCAGGGTGTGGATTATTCATCACCTTTAAAGAATTAAAGTGTATTATACTATCGTGAAGCTGCATCTAATATGGTTTAAACAGCTCAACTGGTGTGCAAATATCTTCAATAGTTTTAAAATCGTATTATATTTTTAATATTAAAAGCTAAAACGTCAAACAGTAGAAATAAATGGGATTCTTACTGTTCTGGCACCGGTTATTTGACCCAAAGTTTCTTGAAGTTTCTTCCCATCGTCGTGCTGGTCCAGTTCGATAACCTTGTAGGCGGCACCAATTTCACTGAACACATTTTTAGCCATTTTACAATATGGACAGCTGGTCTTGGAAAATATCACAACACAGTTCTGTGACACCATATCCTGAAAGGTTGAGCAAAAAACAGGAACTGGTTAAATATAAGCAAAAAAAAAAAAAAAAAACCACAATAAATGCATAATTGTCTCTTAAAAACATATTTCACAAATACTTTTTTTTTATCAGTGACTAAACAGTAAGTACGTTTCTTTCTGTCAGGGGAATGTATGTAAAGGTCATGGATGTTATTCAATTTAATTCAATTCAAAAATACTTGATTAATCCCAAAGGGAAATAAAGTGTTGTTGTAGCTCATCATCCTGGTTTTATTCAAGAGTTGATAGATGCTGATAGCTGAGGTCAGGAAGGATCTCCTGCAGTGAAGTTGAAGAATCTGGCCACAGATACCGATCTGTCCACCCGCATCCAGCTTGCTGTCAGATCCGGCGGACATCTTGGTCCTCATGGGAACATGGACTAACCAAATGCTGGGCAGAATTCCTCCCTGAGCGATGGTCACTCCTCCCAGCAGTCTGCCAAGTTCCTCGTCGCCCCAGATAGACAGCTGAAGGTTCTGGGTGATGATCCCAGTCCTCCCGCTGTCACGAGCTGAGTTTCCCAACAGCTCCAGGATCTCAGCGGTCAGGTGCTCGAACACTGCCACCAGGTTGACGGGAATTCATCCACAACACCTCCTTTTCAACTCATTTGGGATTTGGGGCTTGTATTTGAACTTTTGAGATGTTAATCAGCTGCTCCTGGTTGTTAAATAAAAAATAAAAAAAACTTGTTGCCATGGTTACGCATAAAATTTTTTTAAAAAAAGAGCCCAATAGTAAAAATGTTTCAGTAAAAACCTTTCTAGCTGCACAGCATCCGATACCGGAGGAAATAATCATCCGAAAAAGGTGATTTACATGCAGAAAAAAAAGAGGAATTAAAGTTTCTAAAAGCAATAACTCAGAATGAACGTAACAGAGCTGCTCCAACATGCAGCCACCCCGAGTGGCGTATTTCTAGAACGGAATATTATTTTTGTTTGCTTTCCCTTATCACTTACTAATGTTAAATTAATGTAGAAAGTGTGTGAGGTCAAGAGTCTTTTTGTCTACTCAGAGAGGAGCCTGATAAGTGATAACTTGTGACGCCTTCAAATCTGTAAGCTGGAATGAGCGTTATAAATTATCCTGCCTGTGGGCAGACCTTGTGACCGGAGCTTCATGTAACATCTGTGCGTTAACTCTGCTCCCACTTGCAAGGAGTAAAACTGGGTTGAAAAATCTTCTTGTATCCTCAGTGTGGCTTATTTGATTAAAGACGTGATGAAAGTTTAATTATTCATCCAACTCTTTCAGCTGCTCCCTTCTTCAGTGGCCGCCACAGAGCGTGAACTTGCATGAAAGATTTGGTCATTTGTTTTACGCCGGATTCCCTTCCTGACACTGCCTGGGCTTGAACCCGCAACCTCAGGATTATAAGACCACAGCGCCGACCATCGAACTACCACAAACAGTGGCACAGGATATTTGTAGTAATAACAATTTAAAAGTTTGGTTATAGAAAATAAGACATTGCTACAAAAACAACCAGTCCAACAACTAAAATCAAACTGCAAGAAATGAAAAAAAAAAAAAAAGTAAGACTGTCTTTGTTATACTGTTTTCTTATTTATTTTTAATCTAACTAATAATTTCCTATTTCTATTAGGTTTTCTAGAATGAACAGTTTTCTTTCGTACTGTACAAGAAATAACTCAGGGTGTCAAAACAAAGACGATTAATTAGCAAATGTGTCTTAAATGGTTTGAAAATTTGCTTGAAACCATAAAACACTGAATTCATCAGACAGTTAAACGTAGACTGCTAAGAAATCCTCTGCACACCGACGAGGACAGCAGGAGGCAGAAGTGTAAGCGCTGACTTACCTGAACAAACTGTGCACACGCTGGGCTGGAGAGACTGCCAGGACCGGAGGACGTAAAGTTCCCCATTCTGAAAGACAACACGCATCCAATGTTAGAGCTTGTAGACGCTCACACGGCGATAGATTGGAATCTAATGACGTGCACGTTCGTGCGTACCTTACAAATCTGAAGATACCAAAGGCAGGGAGGAAATGGAGAGCAAGAATTAGCACAATAATGTAAAAATGATCCATAATGCTCTGAAATAACTACAACTTTTACAATAAGGTGTGGAACCGTGTAGTAACTAATGCTGCGTAAGTCTCTGCCTACAACAGTGTAGTAAGGTCTCCGTGGTGGGTAATCCTGGATTATACATCAGATAAACCTCTTCCCAGTTCAGGAGACACAACATTCAGAAAAACTCAACCACAGCGAGCCAGCGTGTGTAACCTGCTTCAGAGTTTATGAACCAAAGTGTTTCTGTTTACAAAGTCACGGATCTACATACGTACTTTCCAATTAATCATATTTGTAACTTTCTCTTTATTGCCGTTGCATCACAAAGTCATCATTTTCGACCAATTTATCAAAATTGGTGACCACACGCACACACAAAGCAGGGTTTTTATATTAGTTTTGAACTAACCTCCAGAACTATCCGAGTCCGGTCAGCACTTATTATTACTGCCGTTTGTTCCCATATCTAGAGGTGCGTCGCAAAAAATTAGAATATCGTGAAAAAGTTTTTTTTTTGTTGTCATTTCAGAAAACGAAACTCATTAAACAGATTCATTACACACAGAGTGGAATATTTCAAGCCTTTATTTCTTGTAATTTGGATTATTATGGCTTACAGATAATGAAAAAAACTAAATTGTGCCTCAGAAAATTATATTTCATAGCCAGATTTTGGTGCCTTTGTCAGTGAGGGCAGGAGCTGAGTCCTGCTGGAAAATTAAATCATCTCCATAAAGCTCGTCAGCATGAAGGACATCAAATGTCCTGGTATATGCTGCGTTGATTGAGGACTTCAAAAAAACTCAGTGGACCAGCACCAGCAGTGGACCCAAACCACCACAGACTGTGGAAACTTCACTCTGGACTTCAACAACGTGGACGCTGAGACCTTGATTTCCAAATTGCATGCAACATTTACTTTCATGTGAAAAGTCCAGTTCTTCTTGTCAGATCAGGTAAGACACTTCTGACGTTGTCTCTGGTTCGGGGGTGGCTGGACTTGAGAAATGAGAATTTGTAGCTCATGTCTACGCGTTAATCAGCTGATCTGAGTTTATAATATTAAACCTCTTCACAATATTCTAATTTTCTGAGACACTGAATTTAGTGTTTTTTTCATTATCTATAAGCCATAATCATCAAAATTACAAGAAATAAAGGCTTGAAATATGTCACTAGGTTTAATGAATCATTATACTATTTATGGGTTTAACTTATGGAAATAATTATTTAAAAAAAATAACTTTTTCCATAATGATCATTTTTTTAGATGCGCCTATTTTAGTGAAATACAGTACAGTTTTTAATACAAGTCATCAATTATTTTAGATTTATGCAAGTGAAATGTTTTATTTACTTAAATCATTAGTATGTATCCTTTTGTTTATACCTATATATTTTTGACTAATTGTGTTTTTCTCTCCATCTGAGCCGTTGTAATAGAAACAGCTTGTAATTTGCACTGCATGGTGAAGATGGGTTTTATAATAAAACAACAAAGTGTCGAGGGTTCATAATTAGGCCGAATTGTTTAGCTGAGTCCAATAAGTAGGAGCCGGTTTGAGTTGATTGAAGGCAACAAGAAAATCATATCAAAATTATGAAATTAAACAACTACTCGAATTTATTAATGGGACTCGGCAAGGAGCGAACGGACAAAAGCTTCAGGCGCAGTGACGCGTTACTTTTCAACAGTTTGTTTAAAATGCGTTATTGTCGTTAGATATAAGTCCGTGGATGTTTTATAAAGGTAGTTAACTAAGCAGCGGGTAATAGTGTCTCATGGACATACACCGGTGTACGCCATTTAAATGACACCGGTCCATGAGACATTCTGTTCGAATTTTACTAAAAGCAACAACATACAACCAAAAAGGAAATTTTGGCTCTAAATAAAACATGCGTTCAGTACCGAAAACTGCTAAATAATTACACATTCAGCTCATCCTACACTGTACACTTAAATCCTCCTGTTGTGCGCACCTTATGTTGCTTTCTTCCGCCTCTTCTTCGTCTCGGTGTTGGGTTGTAAACAAACTCAGGCGCACTATACCGACACCCAGTGGACAACATCCGGTACTACAACAACAAGCAGAGGGTTTCAAAAATATGGGGGGATCTAGAATCCACATTTTTCTTTTTTCTGTCACATATTTTAAACATTTGATTACAAAAAAAAATAATATATATATATATATTTTTTTTTTTTTCACACATTTTAAGCATTTGTGCATTTTTTTAACACATTTAACATGTTTTCTTTTTTTTTAACACTGCACATCATTACAACCACTTTTCTTGCCTCGTATTTGTGGGAGCAATGAGTCTGATTCTTTGACATGTACAGGTGCTTGTTTATAAACCTATATCTTTCTCTAACAGCAGACTTGACCAGTACAAGTTGTTTTTGATCAATGTTTACACAGAAAACAAACGAAAAAAAAAAAAAAAAAAAAAAACACTCACATAGCTATGCAGATGTGAATGGGGAAAGTACTTATAGTACATTTCTGGAGAAGTGGGGGGACTTGGACTCCACATACAACCAAAACATGTCTTTCTCCTGTCGTTAGATGTTGTAGGTGTGGATGGAGAGAACATCTGTCTGTCTCCATGCTGGATGTTGTAGATGTGGATGGAGAGAACATCTGTCTGTCTCCATGCTGGATGTTGTAGATGTGGATGGAGAGAACATCTGTCTGTCTCCATGCTGGATGTTGTAGGTGTGGATGCAGAGGAGATCTGTCCTGGGTCTGTTATTGGGCAGAATGCTACGCCTGCCCTATGAAATCCTGCTTGCTGCATCCACTGTATCCAATCATTATGGTAAGTTCAATACAAAAATCAATGCATACATGTTCCTGTTTTTAGTATTTTTACCTCGTTTCATAATGTAGCTTGACTTGTTAAATTTCAATACTTTTATTTTATTTTATATGCGTTTTATGGCTGTTTATTGTTGTGTACGTTGTCTGTGGTCTGTCTAAATCAAGTCTCTCTTGAAAATGAGTCCTTGTGACTCAATGAGAATAAAGGTTGAATGAATGAAAAATTTGAACCACAGAAAATCAACAGGTTAGCATTACTTAAGTGTATGATTTTTTTTTCTATTTTTTTGATGAATAATATAATTAATGTAACTATTACTATCTCACCCGCTGCGGTTTGTGACTCCTTGGGTTCTACAGGTTGTCCTTACACTAACAGAGCTTCAGGTGATGAGGTCCCCAGCCCTCTGAGACAAAAGACCATGGACATGTCCTCAGGAGGTCGACAAACATGTTCATGACTGTATCACATAAAGGTAGACCAAAAAAAAAAACAAACAAACACATATTTATTACAAAAAACATTTGCAGACTGCAGTGTCTCACAATAATCAGCCACAGATCGTGTGCAGTTTCCTTCACACACATATTGAAGACCTAAAAACTTGTTTGGCAGTTGTTTAAAATTCCCTTAAAATTCCATATAAAAAATAAATACAGTATGTGACTGCCCTTTGCTCATGCTCCTTCTGGAGAGCAGCGTTTCCGCTTCATAGATGTTGACTGTTACACTCTCAGGTTTTCTTTCTGACCACATTAAGATGCCACCCAAACACCCTGCACCCTCTAAGGCTTCCTGCAACAATGATAAGTGCAATAAAAAAATAAGATGCTCCAAGAGAAGGTCAGATTATTGGATTTGCTTTGGCATGGACTTCAAGGCGTTGCTCATTATGGATAATACTGGCAGCCACTCTTTGGATTTGTATTGCGAGGGTGTCCAGACTGAGTTCTTCTCTGCCAACACAACCTCCCTCATCCAACGTATGGACCAAGGCTTCATCTTGACATTCAAGGCTCTTTATACCAGCAATTCTCTTCGACACCTTGTGGATGCAATGGACACAGATGAGAATTGTAAAGAAACAAAGACACCAACTTCCCATCACAATGTTTCTCAAACCTACTTGATCATAGAGAGCCAGCATATTATTATTATAATATATTATTATTAAAACCCCAGCAGAAGCGTACATGTCAGAAGATACTCCTGAAGCAGAGACACCACATGAGAAGCTGTAAATCCCCTTCTTTACTGCAGAGTCAGTATCATTTATTTGGGTGAGTTCCCATACATTTTACTGTATTTTTATTAAATAAAATGTATTCAGTGTATTATGTATTGGAAACATGTTTAGGGTTTAAGCTCTGAAAATTGGCATTTATAAGCCTTTTTATGATCTCATCCAATATTCATGTTTTTTCACAATCCGTGAGTGTTCTAAAGCCGCCTTGCCATGGATAAGTGTGACTCCACTTGTCTTATTACTTCTTCTCAGGTGCAGCAGGTGATTTGCCACTGTGACTCGATTCCCAGAAGTCATAACATCCTCCACATCACATCCAGCATGTGGAGCATAACCACTGACAACATTTAGCATCAGACCTTCTACTTCTACCTTCAGACACATCACCCTATATGAAACCCTTTCCACCTCTAATACATTATTTGCCAACTCCTCTTTCAGGACCACCCCTACTCCATTTCTCTTTCTATCCACACCATGGTGAAACAGTTTAAACTCTGCTCCAGTGCTGCAAGCCTTTCTGCCCTTCCTCTTGGTCTCTTGGATGCATAGAACAAAAGTCCAGCTACAGGCAGGAGGTGGAAAACCTGGAGAGCTGGTGCAGGAAGAACAACCTTCACACCAATGTGAAGGAGATGGTCATGTACTTCAGATGGAACAAACACACCTACCACCCCCACCCCCTGCGGTGGAAGTGGTCTGAGCTACAAGTACTTGGGTGTGCACCTGAATGACAAGCTCAACTGGGGCAACAACACCACCAGCCTGAGCAAGAAAGCTCATCAGAGACTCTACTTCCCCAGGAGGCTGAGGCGAGCTGGTCTGGGAAGCTCAGTCCTCACCTCCTTCTACAGGTGTGCAGTGAAGAGCATCTTGTGCTCCAGCATCAACGTGTGGCATAGAGGCTGCACAGCTGCAGAAAGAAAAACCCTCAGAGAGTGGTGAAGGCTGCACAGAAGTCTGTTGGAGTCAGTCTCCCCACCAGTGCAGACATGTAC